CTGCCGATCGCAACATTGATCTGTTAGATCTTGAAGTTGCATCTGGCGCGCTCAGCAAACTGCCTCCATCACGAACATCGCAATGACGTCTCTCAAAGATGAGTCTCGTCTCGAGACATTCGAGAGAGTCGACCGGACGTAGCCCTTGGCAGCTTCAATACGACTCCTCAATTCAGATACCACACCATGATACTAGAAGCGAACCTCCGCCAACTGTACCTGTTCTTGGTGCCCGCTGCAATCGGTGTTGAGATGACTTCTGGGTTTGATGGAAGTGTATTGAATGGTCTTCAAGGTGTTGATGAATGGAACGAATGTAGGTCGGACAGACCTTGCAGGCAGTCTTCTTGGCTGACGAGTTGTATATTTCAACCATCCGGATGGAGTATCATTGGACTTATCTCTTCGATGATGAATGTTGGTTCTGTAGCGAGTATTCCTCCGGATCAACGGTAATCTTGAGGTACTCAATAGTCCGACTTACCTTTGTGAAGCGGCAATTAACCATGCTCGAGCGGCATTGCCACTTCCTGTCCCTAGGTATATATACTACAGTTAGAAACCATCCATAGGTACTCAAGATCTGCATCTTAGGCAAGTCCGCTAGGTCGTCGACTCTGCGGCAAAAGCGATACTAGGTATATACAGGCGCATCTATGTAAAAGTAAACGCCAATGGGCGTAGTTAGCCCGTTGGGATATCAACGCTGTCAGTATCATCTTTCTGCTCAGTGCGCCGGCACTTATTGGGGGTTGAGGCGGCTTCGTAAGTCTGCGAAGCGTTCGCGTTCGGAGCTGAAGAACCCAGGAGCTTCGGGAGCTCTTTTGCTAAGAGGGACAATACATCATGAGCTGCATCTCCAGGTTGGGAGGGGGAGGCGTTCTGGCTGTTAACTCGCACCCTCAGATTAAGGCTGCCTTACTGCTCGATTTGAGCAGTTTGTAATACTTCCAACACTGTACCTCGGCTATTTACAGTTCATCAACAGGCATAATATTACAGTTCTCACATGCATACACGCGCGGCTGGGCTAGTGGGAGCTCGCGCCATTCGTCATCCTGGCGACTTCTCAAACACAGGAGGGGGCATGTTAAAACAGGGGACGGGGCAAAGAACATGGTTGAACATTCCGGGCAACGCCGATTGATGGTAAGTACCAAGATCAACGACGAGAGAGAAGGAAGCTCAAATGCTACCTTGGTGAGATAACAATATCGATCCAATACGGGATGATAGTCGATGGTTTTAACGTTACCATCTCGCAGCTGACTTTATATGGGCTTGAGAGTGCAAAGCCTTGAATACACTAACTTACGTCCCGGCTACTTTGGGTTGATACCTGTGATAGAATCAAGGGAATTACTAGCTTGGCCTGATAGTGGCCCTGATCTGTCTCGTCTCGCCAAGATGTAGAAATGGCTTATCAAATGAATAGCTCAGTCACTAGAGCACCTGTCAGGTTTTCTTGAGCCTTCTTCTCTTTATTTCCGCCTTCTACCTATTTAGAGTTCATCTTTACTATTCCAAACGCTATGGCCAGTGACCAGTCAGTGACCGCAACGTTGCATTACCATCCTCCCCTGTCTCAAGCACGGTTAAGGCGTCAAGGGATTTTATTTTAACTGTCCGTTCAGCCGTTGAAGGCTTGGAGATGGGGGCGGCCCCCTCCCCCCAGGGCCCCAGTAGACGATCATCAGCAACGGACCCTGCCTTACCAGGGGAATAACAAATCGGCTTTACCTAGTATAGTGGTTGACAAGAAAGACTCGAATCACTGGGAATGATCATGGATGAATATCGGGTTTCCGAGTCAAAACCCCGCAATTTATATGAGCACAGCGCATATTCATGTGATGATGTGGTGTGATGTGTTGCTGTACTTTAGAGTGCCGAGTTTAGTGACCTATGATTGATTGGGTTGGAGTAGCAAGAACAGCATCGAGTGTCAACAATATTCGCTGGTAACCTAGGTATACAGGGTAGATGTAGAACATGGAATTGCTTGACGGTTGGACTCTATTAACCTTAGGTAGAGAACGCAATGGAACATTCCTGATATTGAATCACAACTCGAAGGGGGGCTACACCGCTCTCGTTCTTTCAAAACTCCCTGTTACATGGCATTATAAATAAATTGTTGTGTATGTTGAACTCACTTGTCATCCAATGTCTCAAACTGTTGTGTATGCCAAGCATATTCGGCACTTCGAACAATGTCTCAAGTGCTCTGCCCAACGATGTGGTTTGGGACCCTTGGAACTGAATTCTCTAGAATTGGAGATGAAAGGAGCCATTGCTATTACAGAATTTCACGTGAAGTCATATCAGATTTGTCTTGACCTGCTCAAACCGCGATAACCCAAGTTTCGGATTTATGACCTTTGACAGGTTTAAATTGTTCTGTTACGTGTATTTACTTCTGAATTCATCACGAGTGTCCCTAATAGGCAAGTCATTAGTAGCGACTCGATCCTATTAACAATCGTAAATCTTAGATGCATGATGTTATCCATCTTTTGCGTCAGTTAGAAGAAAGGCAAATTTCATCTCAGGTGAAAGTATTGTGGTTGCCCGATCTGGCTCCCCTGGAGCCATTGCAGATGGCGCGTTTCACTCAGGTACCAGCCCAATCAATGCATCTCTAGGCCGCGGGTGGCTTTTGAAGCGACAGGGTAGGGTTTAGAATATGATTGGCTGGGGCAACCCTACACCGTCACCTACCTAGGCTTGCTTCATCCTTTGATCCTTGTTTGCCCTTTGACGAAAAAAAGAAGTGCGGAACTCGGGCCTTTAACCAAAGTGAAAGGTGAGCCAATCCTTGCGATTTGACGACTTACACCCGTGACAGAGTATGAGTCTAGTGCACATAGATGTGCTGAAAGGATGACATTCGTTCTATCTGAAGGCGAGACGGGTATTTCGGCGAAGATGGGCATAAAGGAGGATCGAAACAACGAAACAACAGGGAACGCGATTATAGAAAAGGCCAAATATTGGGTGGCGACAAAGGCGAGCAGCAAACGGGCCGTGTCAGGTCTCACATCATGTAGCCCGGCGCATGGCAGGCAAACACGGCATAAGAGATCTACGAAGGAAGCAAGCAAGCAAGCAAGCAGCACATGCACGAGTGCCATTGTTGAAGACGAGGTATGGTTTGTGTTACGAGATGAAAAGCAGACGTTTAATTAGAGCACATGATGAGTCCATAGAGAAAGCAAGACACCTAATAACAGAGAAAGAAAGAAAAGGACTAGACCAACAACTCGTGTATCAGGTGTCGCTTGTCCCTTGTCCAGTAGATGTCTGTCTAGACGCTGAAGAGGCTTAGTTAGAGACTTGCTATTATGATAATCTAAGAGTCTGTGCTTGCAAGAGCAAGGGCATGTGGGGAAGAGATCGGTTTCAAATCCTTGGCCCGGCGCCTCTGTCCAGGGGTGCCACTTTTCTTTTCAACATCAACGCTCTCTCCGACGTAACAGAGCACAATGGCATGAGATCCATGTAACTAACGACAGCGATAGAAGGAAGCAGAAATGATTTATGGGTATTGTGTGTCAAAAGTACCATGACGTGACTATTGAATACCTACTTAGGTAGGTAGGTAGGTAAATCGGTACCCTAGTAGCTAAGGTAGGGAAATCCTTTGCTTCCACGCCATTAGGCGCCGGCTCTCAGGGGGGTCTCCAGACACATGCGACATAGACGCCCACAGTCGAGACGCTTCCACCGCCAGTCGCTTCGCTCCCCGAAAACTGTTCCTGGTGGCTCAAGGGAATAACGTCGATCCTAAGGGACCCTCCCGCCTCTTGATGGCACCTACTTCCGGGCTGTGTAGTTGGGTGTGTTCATGCTCGCTTCTGTGGAGTTGGGGGCCCTGGCTCTGCGAGTCTGCAAGGGGGGTGAGGTAAAGACGAACAACGAGAGCGACTAATTCGCTGGACCTTTGCCGCGCTGCGATTCGGGACAGGGACTTAGGAGGCCATTGGCAACTATGGAATAGTTAGTCAACTACTGTCAAGGGTCTGTCTGGTTATTGATTCTGTGCTGTGCTGCGCTGCGCTGCGTCTTGGCTCAGAGGCAGCCGAAACGAAACGACTGAAACATTCTGACCTGCCAGACCTGGTGGGCAAAGGAAAGTGGTTACGATCGTACCGAGTACTACATAAGAGGCCCTCCCCAACCTCCATAGTCCGCTTCCTTTCTGTTCATCTGCAGCAACGCTCAGGATTCTATCTCTAGACGGTCCCTTTTTGGCTTCTTTCTTCTTCTTCACTTCTTCTTCTTCTTCTTCTTGACACTCCCTTGACGGGCTGGATACATTCCCTCACAACCAAGAAACTTCATCTTCACTTCATCTACCCCAGTCTATCCTGTTTGTAACGGACACTGGATTCTTTTTCTGAACGACAGCTTTCACCAACTCACCGACTGAACAACGTACAAGAACTCGGCCCTTGTGTCACCTGGAACCTCCCGTCCGACGCCGTCGACCTGTTGGAGAAAACAAGATCGCTTAACCCATCTGTGCCTGCCACTGCTTGTCACTTCTAGTGCACAGTCACTGTTGTTTTCTCTCTCTTCCATACAGTCATAGACTTTCTTCTTCACCTTGCTCGTGTTGGGATCTTATTGTCCCTCATCACTCACTTTCCTTACCTTACCAACGCTGTTGTTCCATTACCCACAATCCTTTGATTCACTGTTCGACCATCGAACAATAACGACTGCAACAGAACCCGCACCCGTGGTTCACCATTCATTATCAGTTCACTTGAACAACGAACGGCCCGAAAAACCTCAAAGGACAAGCCAGGCTCCGATATTAAAACGCTTAAATCCTTTCAGAAATCTTTCATCTTGCAAGACTCATCATAAGGATTTACTCCAAGCAATCTCTGAGCAACACTCGACAACAACACAACCCTGTCAACATCAACTTCTTTTCGAGATACCCTCACACACTACTTTCATTTTAACAAGACCTTTTTCACTGCGACAAAATGCATTTCCCATCTGTCGCTGCATGCCTCGGTCTGGCTGGTCTAGCCCAGGCACATATGGAGATGATTTACCCTCCCCCCTTCAAGTCAAAATCCAACCCCAACGCTGGTAGCGATGTTGACTACAGCATGACCGCCCCTCTCGATGCAAGCGGCGCCAACTTTCCTTGCAAGGGCTACCACTCCCTCTTTGGTACCAAGGAGGGCGCCTCGGTCGCAGACTGGGCAGCCGGCGGTTCCTACAACATGAGCATCACCGGCGGTGCTAACCACGGTGGTGGCAGTTGCCAGGCTTCCCTTTCCTACGACAAGGGAAAGTCTTGGAAGGTCATCCACTCCTACATCGGCAACTGTCCTGGTGCTGGTACCACCACCTTCGACTTCAAGGTCCCCAGCGACGCTCCATCCGGCGAGGCTATCTTCGCCTGGTCGTGGTTCAACCAGATCGGTAATCGTGAGATGTACATGAACTGCGCTGCCGTCACTATTGGTGGTGGCTCTGGCAAGCGAGCAGAGGCCATGAGCAACCGTCCCGAGATGTTCGTTGCTAACGTCGGCAACGGCTGCACCACTGAGGAGTCGTCCGATCTCGAATTCCCCGACCCTGGTCCCGATGTGACCAACGACTCCCAGAAGACTGCTGGCCCCAAGGGTACTTGTGCTAAGGCAGGATCTGGTAGTGGTTCCGGCTCCGGTTCTGGTTCTGGCTCCGGTTCTGGTTCTGGCTCCGGTGATGGTAACAGCGGTGCTTCTCCTAGCACTCCCGCTGACGGCTCCGCTGGCGGCAACAACGGTGCTGTTCCAAGTGCTGTCCCTACTCAGACTCAACCTGCTGCTCAGCCTTCAGCCCCTGCCGCTCAGCCATCAGCTCCAGCTGCCAGCGCCCCTTCAGCGTATGTACCCTCTCCCTCTTCGATTGGTAATGCTCCTAACTCACAAATCTATAGTCCCGGTGGTGTTTTCGTCACTGTCTCTCAGCCTTCTGAGGCTACTGGTGCCCCTGCTCCTTCGGCTCCCGCCGCAACCAGCACTCTCTTGACCATGACCAAACCTGCTGCTGGAACTGGCGGTCAGCCTGTTCCTACCAGTGTTGGTAGCCCTGAGCCTGCTCCTACCACCCCCACTGCTCCTGGTTCAGGTTCAGGTGGCTCTGGCTCTGGTTCTGAAGAGACTGCTGGTGCTGCATGCAGTAATGAGGGCGCCTGGAACTGCATCGGTGGAACCAAGTTTCAGCGTTGCGCTTCCGGTCGCTGGTCCGTTGTTCAATCTATGGCCGCTGGCACAACCTGCTCTGGCAATAACAGCTCGGCTATGGCCTTTGGTTTCGGTCGCCGACTCGCGATTCGAGGTCGTCAGGTCTAAGGCTCTCTTGAACTAGAGCTGAAATGCAATTCGGAATGTCAAGAGGAAGGAGAGCAAAATAGAACAGGATATTGCCTTGCTTGACATTCTGGAACAGTAGATGGAAGGGTTTGGGAGTTTTTATCTTCATGTACAATAAATGGAATAGGAATCAAACTCATTGATCTTTCAAAACACTAGTTTCGACGTGACTGTGATTGTAAATTGTAGGACTTGGCTCATCGTATAAAGGACCTGATAAGGAAATCATTAAAGCATACAGCTTGATGCATTCTTTGTCAAGTACTTTGAGTAGTCCTACTCAGACTTGTGGGACGGTGAATTCCAGATAATACTATGTAAGTGTGGAGAGCAATGATGATAAAACAGTAACGCTTTACTCCCCTAGCCGAGCCTGGGTCTGCCAATGTGTGTATTGGGATTTGTATGGACTTCTTCGGACGAAAGAGGCCGCCTGCGACACGTAAGCATCAATGATCATTTGGAGGTTAGAGACCACTTCTGGTGTGTTGTGTTGTGTTGTTTTGTTGCGACAGAGGGGCTGGGTTGCCTACATAGGTACTAGTTAGGTGAAGCAGACGGGACTACCTACCTATCCAGCATGACGCCAAAAACAGCAACGTGCACAGTGCGATAGGGACTTGTGTGACAGGTTGTGATTGGTTAGCTATATCGTTAGGCATTCGCCAGCAAGGAGATGCAAAAAAACTTGGCACCTCTATCCTACCTACCTAGGTGACAAAAAGCCTTGGGTAAAGTTGACATAATTTAGTATAGCTTCAGAAGATCTTGGACTAAGTATTTTTTAGCACCTCAATTTAACTTCAGCAGTCTTCTTGCGCTCCGGGGACCAGCACCAAGACTGACTGACCCTTATCAGACAGTATATATACAGTAATCATTGAGGGTAGGTTTTTGTCTGGAACCCAAGCCTAACTGGGCTGTTAAACAGGCGGGGCTGTGCTTGGTCTCGTCAGAAGCCTAGTGGAGTCTTTTGGATGGTGAGATGAAGCGATTGAGAGTTCAGGAGAACATGTATGAGTTAATTATCCAGAGCAGGCAGGTATCTAAGCAAAAATTGGTGTCCTGATAGAAGCCTGGACAAAGTCGTTGGGGTTTGTGAGCCGGTTTAGTTTGCTACTCACTTCTGTAGACGCCTGATCTACCTTTAGCCGCTGGGCAGGTCCCTATTACAAAGGTAAGGTACCTTAACAACCCAAAGTGGGTTTTCCCCTCGCTGAGGGTCCCTTCCCATCAATCAATCTTGGGCGGCGAAAGAGAGCCTGGAGCCCCTCCTCCAGCTTAGCCCAGTCAAGCCAAGCCTGCCTCATCGACCTCCACAGGGTTAGTTTAGAGGCGACACCATCCATCTAAACCTCACCTCGTCTCTTGTCTTGTTCCCGCCTCTTGTATTTTACACTCTTCATGACTGCGGCCCTTCTCGCTCAGTGACGGACTTCCGTCTCCAACCACTCCTTCAATCTCAACCTCACCACGCGACAATTTATTCATCCTTTGCCTACTTGACCTGCGACCCCTCCATTTGCGACATCTCCCCCCGCCTCGACCGCTATATACAATATCTTGAGCTCCTTATACCGTATTTCGAACATGACTGGCCCTGCCTCTCCTCAGGCCGAAGGCCCCACGTTTGCTCCTCCTCCGCTGCCCGCGGGCTGGATTGCTCAATGGGATGGCACAAGCAAGAAATATTATTATGTACAGCTGTCGACCGGTGTTTCGCAGTGGGAGGTTCCTACTGAGCCAGCCAAAACGGGAAATACTCCAGCTCCCCAGGGTGAACATCCTTACGGCGCCCCCAAACGTTCGGAACTCATCACGCATCCTGATGGATCGCAAACTGTGCGCCATGCAGATGGTACCATGGAACCAATTATGCCGGACGGCACCCGAGGTGCAGATGGCCCCTCTGGTGAACGGGGTCTTGGAGTATGTCGTCTTGGCATTTCTCGATAGTGTTGAATTATGCTAACAGCCTGTCAGAGCATGGCTATGAACGCTTTGCTTGGCGGAAAGAACTCTGGTAGCGGCAGCGGTGGCCACAGTTCTAGTCCATTGGGCAATCTTGGCGGTCTCGCAAACCAGTTCCTCGGCGGTAGCCATGGTGGTAGTGGCGGCAGCAATGGGGGAAACAAGCCCTCAGGCGCAGGGAAGCTCGTTGGGCAACTGGCATCGAGCTTTATGCACTCAGCTAGTCAGGAGAAGCCTCCTGCCCCCCAAAATTACCATGGCAATTCCAACCAGAGCTCAAGCCACCATCAAGGAGGCCTCGCCGGGCAGCTCATGGGTGGTGTCGCAACTATGTTTGGCGGTAAACACGGCAGCAGTGTACGTTCACAACAGCAGCGTGCGCCGTTCGCGCAAGACTAATAAGGCGATAGGGACAAAACTCCAACTTTGGCTATAGTTCGGGGCAACAGCCGCAACAGCAGCAGGGTGGTGGTGGAACGTACTCGGGCGAGGCACCAACCTACAAACCTACGGGCTCATCTCCTTCGGCGGCATCAGCGCCCCCCGTAGCCGGAGCGCATTCCTATGGCTCTCCATCCCCGAACCAGCATCAACAGCATGGCTCGAACCAACAGTACGGTTCTCAACACCAAGCTGGTCAGAATCAGACATACGGATCGCAGCAGCAACCAGGTTCTCATCAGCCTTTCAACTCGCATCAGCAACAGCCAGGCGGAAACCAGCAGTATGGTGGTCAGCAACACCCTGAGCCAGGCCAACAATACAGTGCGCATCAGCAACAGCCCGGTCAGAATGGCCCTTATGGAAGTCATCAGCAGCAGCCTGGCTCAAACCAGCAGTACGGAGGCAATTCTTCTTTCGGTGGGAGCCCTCATGGTTCTAACAACTCGTTCCCTCCTCCTCCACCAGGAGGCCCTCCCCAACATGGACAGAATGCACAACAGGGACAACAATATTTTCCTCCACCCCCTGGACAACAGCCACATCAGCCGTCTTCCGGTATAGGCTATCCTGATATTCAAGCGCACGGCGGCCACTTTGGCGGCCCGCCTGATCAACATGCTCAGCAATCACAGGGCTATAGTGCACCGCCAATCCCAGGCAATCAGAACTTTCCTCCTCCTCCACCTGGAGGCCCCCCTGGAGGATATAACCCTTCCTATAACGCAGGCCAGGGGAACCAGCAGTCTTACGGTGGCCAGTCGCAATTCAACAGTGGCGCTCCTCCTGTGCCTCATGGTTCCCACCCTCAGTATGGAGGAGCTTACTGAGAGACTGCAATAAATCTGTACGGAACAACCGCAGTATTTATGCCACTCTTTTGAGTCACTGACCATCTTATCGTTTTGGTACGAGATCGCAAGAATATTCCAAGCCGACGAAATTTATAGCTCTCCGGTCACATCCGACACTTGGATGCTTGATATGAAAGTGTTTTTCGATGAAGATGTGTGTTGAAATGAGTATAGATATCGAAGCTCTTGAGAGGGCCAGGGAGAGTGGCATGAAAGTTGGAGAAGTCACGAGCAATATGATTAACGTACATAGTAGAACGCATTCCACCAAGCCCCCCTTTTAGCATCTAGAGTCGAGAGCCCGATGGTGCCAACACCTCCGTTCCATCAATTCTCTTTCTTGTCTGCGCCATCGGCTGTGACTGCAATTGTTTGTAACTTAGCGGCGATAGATCTGGACACAAACCAAGCCACCGCGCTGACAAGAACAAGATAACCAGCTGCTGGGACTAGAGAACGGGGGACGATACCATAAAGATAGGGGTCGAGGATGAGATCTACGTGTACAGGTGGAGGATCCTTCATAAGAGCCGCGTCGTTCGTAAAATAGTCAGCAGATGACTTGATCTGGAGCAGAAGAACGGAAGCCTCGCGCTCCCTGCCTTCAGTTTGAGCCGACTCTTTTGCCAGCACAGCTTCTTGGTCTTGGCGAGAAAATGAGTAGTTGGCAAGTGATTGAATCAGCTCTGGTGTCTGCCACACGGTGTCCAGCTCGTATACAGCCAAGTCAAACACAGTGGGTTGCTGGCGGCGCAGGCGAATTAGCTTGCTTTCTCTACGTAAATCTCATGTTGACTTACAATCGCAGCCCAACATACACGAAACTCATACCGCTGGCCTTGGTTTAGTTTATCAAGAAGCACCCACGTTGCAACGCCCGAAGCGTGATCCTTTGGCTCAGAGGGAAACACGCGGCTGATATGAGTTCGTATATTTGGGGCGTCTGGTGTAAGGGTCTGTAGTCTGAGATCACCCAGTGAAGGCTTCTGCTGGGGAATAGGGAGTGATGCAGGAGCTGTAAATATTGTCTTTTCAACATTGGCGATGGCCACGCTAAGAAGACACAGCAGGCTGCCCAGTGCGTAAATTATCTGAGTCCTCCCGAGAGACGGCATATTGGGCGATTGGGAGATTGTGTTTGCCTTCCATTACTGGCACCAACATGTTCAGCTACCTACACTTGGAACTGATCTAAAGCGTCACGTGTTATGTCGACTAACGGCCCCGCATATATAGAACTCCCATCAGTGTTCCATGTAGTCTGGCTACCCGGTACTGGTATCATTTATTTATTATAGATATCCCCTTCTTCAATATGAAATAGTAACATTCACATAGTAATCTGCCTTCGCATGTTCTGTCATTCTTATACAGGTCGTAAGTCCGTATTTATATTGGTAGATAGAGGAAACATGATGTTGAATTGCGGCCGTGCATGCTGCTAATCGTCAAAGCATGGGTTTGACACATCACAGACCGTAATGAAGATCATCGGCCGAGCTCGAGCCTCGTGGTGATAACGAACGGCAGTTCTTAGCTTTGCAAGCGACACCTGCTAATGTAGCACAACAACCGGCCAAGATATCTAGTACCTAGGTATTAAGCTAGATAGGTACCTACGCACGCAATGGAATTGCTCCTTAATAGCCATGTCTTGTAATAGGAACTACCTAATATAGGTAGTAGGTACCTAAGCTGCCGGTACTGAGCAGGGCGAACGAAAAGGTACCTAACGAGAAGGTTGAGGACTGGAGATAGCAACAGGGGTCTGAGCAAATGAACATGGTGCCGGACCGGCATGGTTTCTGTAACTATATTCCAGTAAAGATATCCGTAGAATAATGTGAGAGAAAAGAAAACAGGAGCAAGAGTGATTGAATTGTTTATGATATTTTCTTTTGTTGAGTTGAATTACTGTGTAGAGGCTGTTCAAAGTTCAGACAAGACACCTGGTATGGATATGAGGTCAATTATAATTAACACAGGCGAAATGAACGCCTCAACAGCCCGAGATGAGATGTCGTTCGACGGTGGTAAATATGGATCCATTGGATCATCGTCCAAGAGAGACACCAATATCTCAGCTTGAGTGTGCTAGCTTTGACAGCCTGGTCCGTGAGATCCAGTCCCAGCCTCTACACGACGATTCCGTGACACTGGACATAATGATTCCTTGTAGCTAATAATTTTTGATGGAGCGGTGAAGCGAAGAACCATAACCACGAACACGGAGTGGTAGGTGGCCAGAGGCGGGAGAGGTAGAGAGGGTCCTTTTGGCAACCCCTGGGCCCTGGCAGCTGGCCAACAGGCGCCGGCAGCGGAAAACGCCAACAGGGCGTTGCAGGACGCGCTTGCCCCTTTTCAGCCCAGGCACGCCTCGAAATCAAATCAAATCAACAAACCCATAGAAGGTCCAATCCAATCCCAGTGGAGGGCAGCAAAAACTCCCCTGTCTGCCAAATTTCCCCCACCTCACCTATTTTCTCCCATCCAGCCCACTCCACTCCGCTAACTTATCACCAAACCAAACATTCGCCCTCGCCTTGTCTCCTCTCTTCCCGTTGTAAAAGCCTTGTCTGGCCTGTCCTTTTTTTGTCCTCCTCTGTTCTCGTGGTCCCTCTTCTCTGCTCTTGCATTGCATCGACTTCCTCCATCTCATACTTGTAAACACTATCGTCAGCAAACATGCGTGAGGTCATTAGCATCAACGGTAAGCTATTCCTCCCTTTGGCGTTGGGCTTTCACCGCATCTCTGTCTGGTTTGTTGCGATGCTAACTGAGCTATTCTAGTTGGTCAGGCTGGTTGCCAAATCGCCAACTCCTGCTGGGAGGTGAGTTTTGTCAAAACTTTGTTTGTATTGCTCCGTACTGATTGTTTTCCTAGCTTTACTGCCTCGAGCACGGTATCCAGGTACACACGATAACCCCTAAATTTGTCAACAAACACCATACCCAAATACTGACCAACTCCAGCCCGATGGTTACCTCACAGAGGAGCGAAAGTCCCAAGACCCCGATCAGGGTTTCAGCACTTTCTTCTCCGAGACTGGTATGGCTTAACCTGGGACTTGACGGCAGTGCTGCTGTTCTAACACTCATTTCTAGGTCAGGGCAAGTACGTCCCCCGCGCCATCTACTGTGATTTGGAGCCCAATGTCGTCGACGAGGTCCGCACCGGTGCCTACCGAAATCTCTTCCACCCTGAGATGATGATCACTGGCAAGGAGGATGCCTCAAACAACTACGCCCGTGGTCACTACACCGTCGGAAAGGAGCTTATCGATGGCGTCCTCGACAAGATTCGCCGTGTTGCCGACAACTGTGTTGGCCTCCAGGGCTTCCTCGTGTTCCACTCTTTCGGTGGTGGCACTGGTTCTGGTTTCGGCGCTCTTCTGATGGAGCGCCTGTCGGTCGACTACGGCAAGAAGAGCAAGCTGGAGTTCTGTGTTTATCCCGCGCCCCAGACTGCCACATCCGTTGTCGAGCCATACAACTCTATCCTTACCACACACACCACCCTTGAGCACTCCGACTGCTCTTTCATGGTCGACAATGAAGCCATTTACGACATCTGCCGCCGAAACCTTGGCCTCGAGCGCCCCAACTACGAGAACCTCAACCGTCTCATTGCTCAGGGTATGTTACAGCTGTTGGGCTAGCAGTTGCCGGTTGACTAACAACGTATAGTCGTCTCTTCTATTACTGCCTCTTTGCGATTCGATGGATCCCTGAACGTCGACTTGAATGAATTCCAGACCAACTTGGTTCCTTACCCCAGAATCCATTTCCCTCTGGTCGCCTACGCCCCAGTCATCTCCGCTGCTAAGGCTGCCCACGAAGCCAACTCAGTCCAAGAGATGACAATGTCCTGCTTCGAGCCCAACAACCAGATGGTCAAGTGTGACCCCCGTCACGGCAAGTACATGGCTACCTGCTTGCTGTACCGTGGTGACGTCGTTCCCAACGACGCTCATGCTGCTGTTGCTACATTGAAGACCAAGCGAACTATCCAGTTCGTCGATTGGTGCCCCACTGGTTTCAAGCTTGGTATCTGCTACCAGGCTCCCGAGAATGTGCCTAACGGCGACCTCGCCAAGGTCAGCCGCGCTGTGTAAGTCGATTCCTTGTGATTTAATGGATGGAACGAAAGAACTAATGCCAAAACAGCTGCATGCTCTCTAATACTACCGCCATCGCTGAGGCATGGTCTTCGCTTTCTCTCAAGTTCGATCTCATGCACTCCAAGCGTGCCTTCGTCCACTGGTACGTTGGTGAAGGTATGGAGGAAGGCGAGTTCTCTGAGGCTCGTGAGGATCTTGCTGCCCTGGAGCGTGATTACGAGGAGGTCGCTACCGACTCCATGGGTGAGGAGGAGCTCGAGGCTGAGTACTAAGCGGTCACGGATGCGATTACTGGAATACCGACTTCTACCCAGTTTTAGCCTGTCAACGATAAAGAGGTGTATTTTCTTATTTTCACAAAGGTCAAGCCAAAACGAATTTTAATGTCAAAAGGGACCAAAATCTGTACATGGATTGGTTGCCTCTCTGCAGCTTCCATGCCTGAGCCGTTGGCATTATGTGAGGCAGTACTGTAGTTGCGAGTATTGTAGTTGTAATAATGCAAGATACCTCTCCTTACAACCAAATTATCCGGCAGCTATTGAAGTCCGCGAATGTCATGGAATAAACAATGCGGGGAACAGCGGGTGTAGAAAGCCGCCCCGGCCCTTTAAACTGTGACTGTATCCGTACTGTAGAACGGTACCGAAGCCCGAAGCTCGGCCCATGTTTTGGGGGGCCGATAGTACGCGGATTATGTCCAATACCTACTTAGACCTCCCGTCAAGCTCGGCACTTCAAGACCTTTTCCTTGGACGCATTTCAATCGAACGTACATCGACTCCTGTATCACCTCTCACGAAAACTCCCAAGAATGAGTCTCTTGCGGTCTAGCATCTGCAGAGCATGCCGCCGCTCGCAGCAAATTCGCTGGCATAGAGGCCTTGCGACGGCCAGCAATCAGTCATATGACAACCGGGTCAGGCTCGTCGAGGTTGGGCCTCGGGACGGCCTGCAGAATGAGAAGAAGGCAATCCCGTTGGAGACCAAGATTGAACTTATCGAACGATTGGCCCGAACTGGAGTTTCTACAATTGAAGCTGGATCATTTGTTGCTCCAAAATGGGTGCCTCAGGTAGTGTTGTAGCTAATCCGATGTCCACTCAGTATTCTGACACTGTTACGATAGATGAGCAACTCCAGCGAAATATTGCAGCATATCCTCGACGGAAAGGTTTCTTCTCCTGGCCCAATCACATACTCCTTCCTAGCACCCAATGGCAAGGGCCTTAAATCTGCCGCCGATGTCCTCGGTGCGAATAGCGGAAAGTTTGCAACTCAAATGGAGCCAGCAGCTGGAGCCGAGGCCGCCACCAAGCCAGCTGTTGAAGTCGCAGTCTTTGCTGCTGCCACCGAGAGCTTCACGCAGAAGAACCTCAATTGCGATATCAAGACATCGCTCGAACGCTTTAAGGAGGTGATTAGGGATTCCAAGGGTATGGGTCTCAGAGTGCGCGCCTATATTTCTGTAGTCCTGGGATGCCCGTTCGAAGGGTTCGACGTTGATCCCCACAAAGTAGCCGAGATTGCTACAGACCTTCTGGAGGCTGGAGCAGATGAGATCTCACTCGGAGATACTACAGGAATGGGTACAGCACCTCGAACGGGAGCTCTCCTTCAATGCATGTCTGCAGCTGGTATCCGAACTGAGGATATTGCTATGCACTTCCACGATACATATGGCCAAGCTCTAGTGAATACTGCTGTATCCCTAGAGCACGGCATTCGGACGTTCGACAGCAGTGTTGGTGGTCTAGGGGGTTGTCCTTACAGCCCTGGCGCGACCGGTAACGTTTCAACGGAAAACATGGTTTACTTTATGGAGACTCTAGGCATGGATACTGGCATTAATCTGGATGCTATGTCTGACATTGGAGACTGGATCACAAAGGAGTTGGGTAAAGAAAATGGCAGCACCGTAGGCAAAGCAGTTCTTGGAGCTCGGACTCGAGCTATGCAAAACGCAAAGGAAAGTTGAAGAGGAAGGAAGCTTGTTGCTGCGTTGTTCTCGTTGAGCATAGTAAGAAAAACACAGACGACTATTTAACTACCTACCTACCTACCTTATCTAGGTAGTTTCCATCTATTAAGCTGACAGACTTGAAATGTTTGTTGATATAGGTGACCGGTCCTCAGGGGGCAAGAAAACAACGGACCTTGATATGGGGTGTCAAAATAAACTTAAGTAAAAGCTATCCTAAGCTTAGGCTAGGTATATTCTCTAAGTCTTTTTGTCATTTAGGATCGAGGTCCTAAGTTTTCTTTCCTCCCCTACTATAGCCGGTCAACTTAAGGTATCTTAGCTCTGCGAATGTCATGTGATGTCACCGATGTCGTAGAAACGTTCCCATGTGGAGGTCAAGGTTATCGGCCGTGCGTCGCCTTTGGGCTGGCGCAGCTGGAAAGGCCCCACTTGGATGAAGCAAGCTCAACCTCCTCCAACTCCAACCTCTTGAGCCCTTCTCCCCAACTTCATCTCCAAGCTTCGCGATCGGCTCCTATATTCTCTTTTGCCCCTTCCTTCAACCGTCCGATTACCGATCCATCGCCCATCATGGCGGACCCTCGCGAGTCCTCGTCGTACTCGGTCATTCCCAGAATTCGATACAACACTGTTGGCGGCGTCAACGGTCCCCTCGTCATCCTCGATAATGTACGCCGTCGTCATCTGCCAGATCGAACCGGCTTGGAACTTACCGGCTGACAACAAAACAGGTCAAATTCCCGCGATACAATGAGATCGTGACACTTACTCTTCCCGATGGCACTGAGCGCTCTGGTCAAGTCTTGGAAGCTCGAGGTTAGTGCAGCTGCTGGCGTCTCTGAGGTAATGACGCGGAATATGCTGATATGGTTTGCTAGGTGATCGAGCTGTCGTCCAGGTACACTTATATGCATACGGTGCGATATTTTATGGCGATTGACGATTGTATAGGTCTTTGAGGGTACTTCCGGCATCGATGTGAAGAAGGTAGGTGGCATCGCGAGCTCTATTGGTAGAGCATCAAGCTAAGGCGACCACAGACCAAGGTTGAGTTTACAGGCCAGAGTTTGAAAATTGGTGTTTCTGAAGACATGCTTGGTCGTATCTTTGACGGTTCCGGTCGAGCTATTGATAAGGGTCCCAAGGTGCTGGCTGAAGATTATCTTGACATCAACGGTTCTCCCATCAACCCTTATTCTCGTGTAAGGCTACCCTTGGGCGCTGCAAAGTAGATATCAACTGATCCAAGACATAGGAATATCCCGAGGAGATGATTTCCACAGGTATCTCTGCCATCGACACCATGAACTCGATTGCCCGAGGACAAAAGATTCCCATTTTCTCCGCCTCCGGTCTCCCTCACAACGAAATTGCTGCGCAGATTTGCCGACAGGCTGGCCTCGTCCAGAAGCAGGGCATCACTAACAAGGGCGTTCATGACGGCCACGAGGAGAATTTCTCGATCGTCTTCGGTGCTATGGGTGTTAACTTGGAAACTGCTCGTTTCTTCACCCGCGACTTTGAGGAGAACGGCAGTCTGGAGCGTGTTACACTCTTCCTGAACCTCGCCAACGATCCTACGTGAGCTGCGAACCATACCTATTACGACGATCCGCATACTAATTCCTTTCCAGCATCGAACGTATCATTACTCCTCGTCTTGCTCTTACCACTGCCGAATATTACGCCTACCAGCTCGAGAAGCACGTTTTGGTTATCCTTACCGATCTTTCTGCTTACTGTGATGCTCTCCGAGAAGTGTCAGCCGCCCGAGAAGAAGTTCCCGGTCGTCGCGGATACCCTGGTTACATGTACACTGATTTGTCCACCATCTACGAACGAGCCGGTCGTGTTGCGGGCCGCAATGGTTCCATTACTCAGATTCCCATTCTGACCATGCCTAACGACGATATCACCCACCCCATTCCCGATCTGACGGGTTACATTACCGAGGGTCAGGTGTTCATTGACCGAGCTCTGGACAACCGTGGAATCTACCCGCCCATCAATGTTTTGCCTTCGCTGTCCCGTCTGATGAAGTCTGCTATTGGTGAGGGCATGACTCGAAAGGACCACGGTGATGTTTCCAATCAACTGTACGCCAAGTACGCTATTGGTCGTGATGCCGCAGCTATGAAGGCTGTCGTTGGTGAGGAGGCTTTGTCTGCTGAGGACAAGCTGTCCCTCGAGTTCTTGGAGAAGTTCGAGCGTCAGTTCATCAGCCAGGGACAGTACGAATCTCGATCCATTTATGAGTCCCTGGACCTAGCATGGAGCCTTCTGCGTATTTACCCTAAGGAGTTGCTCAACCGTATTCCCGCCAAGGTCCTCAACGAGTTCTACCAGCGAGCTGCGAAGGACTCCAAGGCCAAGGGTAAGGCTCGAGCAGATACTGAGGCCCGAAGCCAGCAACAGACGGAAGAGAACCTTATTGACGCATGAGGCAACGAACGACTTGTCGGCATTTTGATAGATAGTATAATGAGCGCGCGCACAAGGCCGTTGGAAGAGAAGAGAGAGAGAGGGAGATGTTTTAAGCTGATTGTTTTCACGCTGTTGTTGAGGGAGGCTGTAGAGCAGAGCAAGAGTAGGTATATGGGCGAAGATAGGGGGGCGAGCCAATGCAATTCAACCGATCCTCAACCTTATCCTGATGTCTTATGAGGAGCATAATTTGCCATGGTGATGAGATATAACAGTTAAGACCTTGGCTGGCTGTCATGGCGTCTCTTCAAGGTAGATCCAAGATTCCAAACCAATGAAGTCGAGTTTCAAAGATAGTGGATCTACAGTGTCGAAAATACGAGTCACGCACATGCCACATAATTTTTTTCATTTTTGGTCTGTACTTGCTCCAGATTGAACGGCCCATGTAAGAGAGCAGAACTCTCGATTTACTCCAATACAATTTTGTCGTGAAAAGCACAACGTCTTTCTTCTCACACAGGCACAATATGGAGGAAGATAGAAGACAAACAGACCTGGGCACGGCAGCCGATATCGAAGAAGCGCAGCTCGCTCAGGCGAGTCAGGCCCCTGCCATCCAAAATGAGCCAGAGACAGCAACGCCACTGAAGCAACCAAAGAAGAGATTCATAGGACGAAGAGCAGCAGTTGAGGCCGCAGCAAAGCTCGGAGAATCAGGAGCATCAGGGGAGAGTGGTGCTGTTCAGAGTATGTGAAAATACCGTCCTCCATCATGTAATCCAATCTAGGAATGGATGAAGATATACTCATGTTGTTTATTTATTATAGCTGCCAAACCTCGGAGGGCTCCCCGACTTCTAAATCAAGTTCCCAAGGAAATTCTTGAGAACGTTGATCTGAAGGCTGCCGTTGCGTTATTGCCTGCTAACTACAACTTTGAGATCCCCAAGACGATCCACCGCATCCAGACTTCAAACGCCAAGAGAGTTGCGTTACAGATGCCCGAGGGCCTTTTACTCTTTGCCACTACTATATCAGATATCTTGACGCAGTTCTGCCCTGGTGTCGAGACACTCATTATGGGCGATGTGACTTATGGCGCTTGCTGTATCGATGACTACACAGCAAGGGCCCTTGGCTGTGACCTGCTGGTGCACTATGCCCACAGTTGCCTCATCCCCGTCGACGTGACCACGATCAAAACTCTATACGTCTTTGTAGACATCAGCATTGATGCGACACATCTCCTAGCATCCCTTGAGCGCAACTTTGCCAGTGGCAAAACAATAGCTGTTGTCGGCACTATCCAGTTCAACGCTACTATCCATGGCGTCAAAAGCAGTCTCGAGCGCGGTGGCTTCCGTGTTCTCGTTCCCCAGATTGCACCATTGAGTAAAGGTGAAATTCTGGGCTGCACTTCTCCTCGTCTGAAAGACGACGACAATATCGATCTGATCCTATACCTGGGCGATGGTCGTTTCCACCTTGAGAGTATCATGATTCACAACCCTTCTATTCCAGCGTACCGATACGACCCTTACTCTCGAAAGCTCACGCGGGAGGCGTACGGCCATGAAGAAATGCAGTCTCTCCGTCGAACAGCCATCCATAGCGCTCGTACAGCACGCAAATGGGGCTTGATTCTCGGCGCTCTTGGCCGCCAGGGCAACCCGCATACATTGGGCCTCATCGAGAAAGAGCTCAAGGCGCGAGGCATTCCTATCGTGCACTTGCTCCTAAGTGAGATTTTTCCGGGCAAATTGGCGCTCATGTCGGATGTCGAGTGCTGGGTCCAGGTGGCCTGCCCTCGATTGAGTATTGATTGGGGCTATGCATTCCCGCGGCCGTTGTTAACGCCATATGAAGCACTTGTTGCATTGGGCGAGCGACAAGATTGGGGTGAGGGTGTCTATCCCATGGACTACTACGGAAAGGACGGGCTGGGAAGGACAAGGCCCTTGCAGATTGCTTCAGGATAGATGCAATCATGACACTAAACGATTGAGACCCAATAAGTGCGATAGGACCTTGGCTGGATATACAGCAGGGTGATGAAGAATGAAGTTCGATATCGATGAAAGAAGTGGACGGATGCGTGAGCTTTTTCCTCGGATCAAGAGGATATGGGAGATTCGAATGTTGACTTGGAATAAGGTGCAGGAAGTCTCGCTCAGCATTCGTAATACGATATAGCCTTTTTAATTGACCTCCTAGGTAGGCAGTCAAAACAAGGTCATCAGGTCGCATTGGCTGTTCCGACAGGCTCTGGCCGGTTTGGAAACATAATCTTGTACTTGACAATCTCAACCACCTCGAGATTTTCGCCCTGCTCTAGTGTTTCCCCCCCTGAGCCAGATATCACCTTGTTCTCTCTCTTTCGCACCACGGCCATTGCTTTTGGAAGCTTTTTGACCTCCCCAGTGAGACGTTGATGCTGGCCAACATAAAGGTGAACCCGCTTCATCCACGCTGAGCCTTCGGCACCGGCCACGAAATCTGGGAAGTCAAGTCTTCCAACTCGGACGGCGCTTAATGCATCTCCATTGGCGTCTTGGGGTAGATTGATGGTTCCTTGGAGTTCCAGAAGAGCTAGACCCGAGGGGGTTTGCAAGAGTTGAGGTAGAGGATTTGAGGATGGTGCCTTGTTGTTTGGAGGATATAGCTTGGCCGAGGACATGACGAGAGAAAATGAGAGATTGGAGATGTTTCAAAGTGTTTATATCGTTCCAACAGTTAGGTGTTTAGGTATCAGTATCAAGTCTGTCTAGCTGAGCTGGAAAGCGTCCATTGACTGACACCTTAAGTCTAAGTTAGACCAGAGTTCGAGTAGAGCTCTACAGTAAAGTATAGATATATACACTGTGTGGAACCCGTACCTGAAGCTCGGCGGAGGAATCGGACTTTCCTTTGCCCGAGATTTATCTGCGCTCATTGGCTGCCCACCCCGTGTGCCCTAGCGACTCGCACTTGCCTTCCACAATTTTCGAATTCGGAAATTTCGAACCTCATCATCCTCTACTAACTTCACAGCAGGCCAGGTCAAGTAAACTTGCACCCATCACAACTGGCAAAATGAAGGTACGACAAGAAGCAATCAACAATCGAGCGACACGAGTCTGCGGGAGAGGATTTTGTTATTTGGAATAGGATTAATCATTCCTGTTGACTGGCCTCCTCGTGTGCGCTGCTTGCTGCTCGATTGAAGATCTCAAAAGAAAATAGTCGCTGACATTTTCCTTTCACAGTTGAACATCAGCTACCCTGCCAATGGCAGCCAGAAGCTCATCGACATTGAGGATGAGCGCAAGCTCCGTGTCTTCATGGAGAAGCGCGTACGTCGAAACTCCCTTGCCCTTTGCCTACGACCGCTCGGCTCGTCGACAGCAAACCGACCGACAACATGCTAACTCTTCTTTTGGTAGATGGGCGCTGAGGTTCCTGGTGACTCCATCGGCGATGAGTTCAAGGGCTACATCTTCCGCATCACTGGTGGAAACGACAAGCAGGGTTTCCCCATGAAGCAGGGTGTCATGCACCCTACCCGTGTCCGCCTCCTCCTCTCCGAGGGCCACTCTTGCTACCGACCCCGACGCACCGGTGAGCGCAAGCGAAAGTCTGTCCGTGGCTGCATCGTCGGCATGGATCTTTCTGTCCTCGCCCTCAGCATTGTCAAGCAGGGTGATGCTGACATCCCCGGCCTCACCGACGTCGTCCACCCCAAGCGCCTCGGTCCCAAGCGCGCCACCAAGATCCGCAAGTTCTTCGGCCTCACCAAGGATGACGATGTATGTCTCTCCCTACGCCCATACTCGATCATCGCCTACCCGGAGCTGCAGTGGAGGAGTTGGCAGACCGGGTAGAGTGTGAGAGGACCCCTTGACCTTCTTCGTCAAGTACGATGAGGTCAAGGGGCAGCGAGTTGAACAACCATAACCACAAGAATTGAAAGTAGACTAATGCTTACATGATACATAGGTCCGCAAGTACGTTATCCGACGAGAGGTTCAGCCCAAGGGTGAGGGCAAGTCTCCTTACACCAAGGCTCCCCGCATCCAGAGACTCGTCACCCCTCAACGTCTCCAGCACAAGCGCCACCGCGCTGCCCTCAAGCGTCGCCAGGCCGAGAAGGTCAAGGACGAGGCCGTAAGTCACTCCCACGCTCAGCACACTTTCCATCAGCATCTAACACGATTTGCAGAACGAGTACGCCCAGGTCCTTGCCAAGCGTGTTGCTGAGGCCAAGGCCAACAAGGCCGATGCCCGTAAGCGACGAGCAAGCTCTATGCGCAAGTAGAGTTCTGGCGTTTAATGAAAAAAAAAGTGGAATCATACCTTGGTCTTGTAGTTTGCATGCATTGGGAGTGAGGATTCTCTATAGGGCTTGTTTTGAGCCAGCCACGACTGCGTTAGAGATAGTTCAAAAATATGAACATGCATTAATGCGCTCGTAACCCGCGCCCAGTGGCAAGCTCCGCCTGCGTCTGCGTCTATACTATCCCTTTCCTCACTACACGTTTCTTTCAATCATGACTTGTTGATGCTGTTATGCCAATCTCATGTAGTCCTTTGCGGGAATAACTGGAAATCAAGAGGTAAATCACCAACAAACACAACTCAAGCCGTAGAGCAACCGAATACAGTGTACACCATAGGTTGTTTTCCGGGTGATCACCTATTAAACTGTGATTGATATACGTACATGAAACTTCGCCTATCATCTACTTTCTGTGCGCTTTCCGCATTCCAAGGCACCTATAGGAGACCTGCACTTCTCCCAAGGTGAAGCCTGGACGAGGATGCTACATCCAGAGAGTGCTCAAGACCATGAGATCTCGAGGCCAGGCTGATAAAACACAATACCGGCACCGTAGTAAACATCAACAACTCTCTTTTCCATTGGTGTCCCCATCTATGATCCCTTTCCCCTTACGCGCCTGCAATGCTAAGATTGACGATCACGCGAAGCCAAAATATTCGCTGCCTGCTGTGATGGCCTTGATGATCTGAGAACGCAAATGGTCGTAGCTCTCATACTCTGGAAGGTCAAGCTCTGTAATTTTACGTATTAGACGATGCACGAATTGAATGCTGATGACTTTACTTACGGTTAAAACAGGTATGCGAAGAAGGCAATCTGTCTTTGTTGCCATAGTCACGGTGGATGTTGAATCGGTTAACACCGTTCATGCCTTCAAGCTCCTTGAAGCCGTTGAGTGGAACCTTGCTAGTTCCTGTGACGAACTGCAACAATTTGGCGCGCTCTTCCTTATCAAAAGACCGCAAAGCTCTCCAGAACCATTGGATTTGTTGCGAAGATGGTGTGTAGTTGTGATACTCTGTGTTGCTCTTCCAGTCATCGACATCAATATCGGGAAGGCCAGAAATCAAAAGCTCCAGCTCCTGTTCGTTGAATATGGATATCAGTTCGGCAGGGATAATGTCATGGAAGCCTGTTGATGAAAGTTAGTGGTTGAATCAAGTTATTATGGATTGGAATGCTCACCTTGAAGGAAATGGGCCATCTGCTCCTTGACGGAAGATAGCAACTTGTGTTCGACAACAAGACGGACATAGTCATGTTTATTCTCCTCGGTGACGGCAATCTCTCGACCATTAGGGATGAGGTCAACGACGGTGGTAGCGCCGAACTCATCGTTTTCGACCGAGAAAGTTTCGGTGATGATGTCTGTGATGTCGTTGTCCAGCATCCAGCACAGAGACTTATAGTAGTCGGGGTCGAATGATTCCATATCCTTGACCGAGACAGATTTGCCGAGAATTCGCTTGTATACAGCACGGCTAAAGTAACAGTCGAGTACGCGACCCTCGTATAATGCTTTGCCGATGATGCGACCAATGAATTTGAAGAACAGAAGATGCTCATCATTGATGCCGCTGAGCTTGTTTGGGTGGAAGGTCGTCCGGTCAGAGGACACCGGTGTGAAGAGCACATAGTTTGGATCAAACATCTGCCGAGAGAGTACTTGGAACCACTCGCGAGTAACTCCGCCAGCGTCAACGCCTTCCTCGCCGTGGAAACGAATATTGAGCTTTCCAAATTTCATCTCATCCCCAGACTTGAAGTACAAGGACTTGAACGAGTCATGGAAAACCTGTCCACGGCGGACAGAAAGTTGCAAAGTAGGATATGAGGGTCGGCTCTGGCTGTTACCAGATCGGGAGTGGACGCTGCGGTTGAAGTAGTTGCGCTTGTTATCAAATTCCAGCACCTTGGGGTTCTTCACGAGGAGTGCGAAGGTGCCTGACATGAGCTTGGGATTGCTTCTGACAAGCTCGTTAAGGATACGTCGATGATCCTCGGTGAAGCTAAAGAAGAGACTGGCCGTGCGAGACTCGGGTGCTGGACTTGAGAGGACCATCTCTTTCAGCTGTGAGGGATCATCGTTGGTGGTTGTATTCTTGCAGACCACCATGAGAGATTCAATCAGTGGTAGAAGGATTGTAGCCACATTGAGCATGTTTTCGCGCTGACGAATGGCACTCAGGCAAGCACTCAACTTCTCCCACATGGCCGAAAAGGTCGAGTTGTGGTAGAGAGATGTGACTAGATCGTGTCTCTCATCCTTGTCCTTGCTGGACTCGGCCTCTTCGCCCTTTTTCTTGTTGTCGAACAAATGATCTAATGCTGTCAAAACACGAAGGAGTTTGTTTTGCTCGGAGGCTCCTGGCGAGAATTTGGCAAGAGCAACGCCTTGGATCTCAGTGCCCGAAGATGCCTTTTCAATATGTGGCAAAAGGTCGTCCAGATCAGCGACGATGTTCTCACTAAGAAGCCGGGCCTGGTGAACGAGCTCCTGACCAAATGTTGCCTTAGCCCCTGGAATGGCTGAAAGGTTCTTGATAGTCGAGATGGTGTTTTGGAAAGTCTTAGAGCTGCATTCTCGAGCCACAAATATCCTTACGGCTAATGTCAGGTTCTGGGCGGGGACAATGGGCGGCTGAAGTTGTCGAAGTTTCTTCTGGACTGCTTCTTTCTTCTCTTGTTTCTTGGTATCAACATCAGTGACAGTGTCCTCTTTTGCATCGGTGCTGGACTGCGTAACATTGCTCGTCTCGGTTGGTTCCGCTTTCGAAGCTTGCTCCACAGGATCTTCAGTTTTGGACATCTCTCCCACCGGGGCTGAATCAATGGCTTTCAGTTCGTCCTCGGCTTCCTTACGACGACGTTCAAGATTCTGAAGAGGCAATGTGACTCGATTCAACAAATCAGCCAGATGGGTCATAACGACAGAGCTTTCCATAACAAGGTCGCGGTCAAGGAGTGATAGCAAAGAGTTGATGGCATACTTGTGGGACTTAGAGTCCTTGCCTTTGCCCTTACGGCTCAGCGAGCGCTTGAGGGTTGAGCCGACGGCTTCGTGTTCTGTCAGGAAAAGCCAGGGAATATGAGGGTTCTTTGATGATAACTCCACCAGCAGATCCAGGCACTGCTGAACAATCAAGAGAGGAGAAGTTTCGGAATTGGCTTGCGTAGTGTTTGCGGCGGGTAGACCAGTCAGGCTTCTCTTGAGTGCCTGCGGGGTTTTCTGCTCGGAGTCCTTCTCCTTATCCTTCGGTCTTCGTGCCTTTAGGGACAACTGGCCGAAACTACGCTCGACAGCCCCCATGTCTGTGCTACCGTCCTGCAATATCTGAAGAAGAGTGCTAATCACCTCGAGCCGAGTTTGCTTATTCTCGCAGACATCGGCAAATACGTTGAATAGGTGGTTCCTTATGGAACCCTGTTGCGTAATGAACATCAGACGAAGGAGCGTAGCGACACCGGCCTTGTCGAGCATCTGAACAACAGTTCGGCGCTGTACCTTTGCTCCTTCTTGGGGGTTAGGTGGCCCAGGCTGGCGGCTTGTGCTGGCTTGAGGGCTGCGGCCTGTGATGACGGAATGGCCGTTGTTGTGGTGAGACAAAGCTCGGGCCTGGGCCGCCATTTCTGGGGTCAGTCGATCCATGAGCTCTTCGCCTTGGTCCATGAGAACCTGTTGTCGTAGATCAGGCGGGAAAGTGAGGAGGATACTGGCAGTGTCCATTTCTGGTATGACAGCCTGGCCAGTGCTGGCGGATGCTTGACGATTCGTTTCTTCACGAGCCCGGCGGCGCTGCTCTTGTCGCTCCTGTTGAGCTATTTCGTGTCGCAATTCTTCAGGAAGAGCATCTAGAAATTCTTGGAAAGCTTCGGTCGGGTTCCCATTTGTCTCTTCACGTGCCTCGGACCTTCTGGTGCTAATTGCCTGTGCAATGACCTCCTCGCGAAACTCCTCGGGAAGAGCTGCGATATAATCTGGATCAATACCGAGTTCGGTGACGTCGACCTCTTCGCCTCTGATTGTGGTCATCACACGAGGACCGTCATCGGCGGTTTGGTCTGTAGCCTCCGAAAGTTCTGCTTGGCTTTGGTTCGTCGGCTCGACGCCTTCCATCGCACCTCCGTCACCTTGGCCTTCAGTGGACACGTCCTGATTAGCGGCTGCTTCAGAAGCGGCACGTTCAGCAGCCTCTCGGGCCTCTGCCTCTCGCTTTTCTCTCTCCGCCTTCTCTTTAGCCTCTTTAGCTTCACGTGCCAGGCGTTCCTCTTCTTCCCGTTTCTTCCGTTCCTCTTCTTCGCGCTTCTGTTGTTCAGCTTCTTCGGCTTTTAGCTTTTTCTCCAACTCTATTGCAGCGGGAGTAAGCTTAGCCATGATGATGTTCTGGAGCTTAGCCGCTTCCATATAATTGTTGGTCCCAAAGACCATCCTGGCTTCCTCCTGATATCGATCCATCGTGCCTTCAATAGCAAACGACACAGCTTGTAATGGATCTTGGACCGATCCTTCGCGTCTCTGTTCAGTACGAGAGGTTCGTACGGCGCCCAACTCTCTAGACTCGCGGTGCCCATGCGGACCAGTAATCTGCAGATGGAAGGCAGGCTGTCCATTGCGCCCCATGATCGGGAGGAATTCCATGAGTTCACCGAGGAAGCCCATGGTTCCCTCGATATGGCGTCCACCTGAGCCAAAGATCGCTTCAGGAACTCGCAACCCGATAGTGTGATTGATGGCGGGACGTTGGGATGCTTCTCTGTTTTGGTCATCCCGTCTGAGGAGTGGATTGGTGCCATCATCGGGGTTGGATTGGCCTGCCCCAGGGCGATGGCTGCGTGAAAAGAAGCTGCGAAAATCGCTACCAACGGCATCCCGATGAGAGCCAACAATAAAGCCGGGAGGGAATGGGCTACGCGAGTCGGTGGTACGGGAAGGAATAAAGCGTCGGCGACCTGGGTTGTCTACCATGAACATTTGG